ATCAGTAGTGAAGTAGTCAGGATTAGAATCGGTGCAGATGTTGCTTCACCACAATGCCAACCCCCATCAAAATTAACTTTTAACTCCATTTTCCAAGCACTTTTTGAAGTTCCCCCTTATACATGACACACAGGCATCCACACGCACCCCTTCCAACAACACCTGCAGTTGTGTTCTCACACCCCGAAAGAACCATGTGCCCAGGGTCAAGGTGCATGGGTAGCAGAGCTCCACGGACCCAGGACTGAGTTTTTTCCAAAGCATTTTTGTACTTGAGACTATGCCTACCACACACCCTCAGCCCATGCCCTTTCTCCCCCTCAATCCCTCCTAGGATCCCCCAGACCCATTAGATCAAGGGCAGATAGTAAAAGGCCTTCCTTGCTGCAGGGGAGGAGAGTTCTAGATGTTGGAGGGCAAGGACGAGTTTCGTCAGAGGGAAGGGGAAGTGCAGGAGAATGGCTGTAGGGGCCAGTATTAACTATAGGTCAAAGGTCAAAGCAGAAAGGTCAAAGAGGAGGTTGGGAAGAGTCTGGGCTACAGATGAGAGAGTGAGAATGCAGACAAGGACGCCATGAGAGCTGACAGAAAAGCAAGAGGATTGAGTTAGAGAAAGCACCACCACCACCCCCTTTTTTTTAAGGAAAAAAAATGTATATTTTTATTTGAAAGGTAGATTCTTCTATCTACTGGTTTACTCCCCCAAATGCCCAGGTCTGTTCCAGGTCAAGTTGAGAGGAAGCTAGAACTCCATCCAAGTCTTTTCCCTCTTGGATGGCAAGGGCTCAAATATTTGAGCTGTCAACCGCTGCTCCCCAACCCCAGGATGCACATTAGCAAGAAGCTGGAGAGGAAACAGAGCAGCTAAAATTTGAACCAAGTGGTCCTGCTATGAAAGACAGCATCCTAAACGAGCAGCTTAGCGTGCTGCTCTATGCTGCCCACCCTGGAGTTAACATCCATCCCTGGATGGTTGGGAGGGTGGTGGAGACAGCAAAACCATGAGCAAGAGAAGGAGATGACAAACAGGTGCCGGGCTCAGGTGTCTCCTAGCTGGTGATGCAATAGGCACAGGATGTGTGCTGTGCCAGGAGACAAGGCAGGGACATAGGTGGGAGCTGAAGGCAGAAGGGTGGCTGTGGCCCTTGGGCAGGGGGCCTCCACCCAGAGAGAGCCCTGGTCGTGGATATGTGTCACCAAGCTGACGGTGGGCCTCAGTTGGGCAGCCTCCCTGAGAAAGCGCAGAGCCACGGGGAGAAGCCGGGAGGCCAGCTTTTCTTGAGGGCTGAAAGAAGCCAGAAGCAGGCTGGGTGGCTCTGCAGGAGAGGCGGGGTGTGAGGATGGCAGTGCCCCCACCCCCCACTTAAGCCTTATTTAAGGCCGGCCTCGGTGTTTGGTTGGGTAATGAACTAGATAAACAATTCCCCAAATAGATTAAAACGAAGTGTAACTTACAAAGGCGGCTAGTGATGATGGTTTATTCCCAGGCAGTGCACCATTTCTTTATTTCCAAGGATAATTCAGTGTAAATCACCTTAATTAAAAGTGTCAGCCCAGCCCATGAATATTGTACTTAGGAACGCGTTTCCTGGGTCCCAGTTATAATTTAAAACCCATGGATCACTAGGCAGCGAGTGGCTGAGTAAGGGAGGAAATTGTTGGGGGTGGGCTAAGGAAAAGGGGAGGGACCAAGACAGAGTTGATGGGCTCGGCAGGCAATGGGCAAGCCCACAACCCCTCTTCACCCAGTCCCCCTGCTCCCTGGGGCCCAGACGTCCCACCCCCACCTCCACCCCCTGCCCAGGGATGGGCCCTCCCCAGCTCCTCAAACTTGGAGGGAATAGGGTTACTAGAGGGAAGAGAAGGGTTCAGAGGTGCTGCCAGTTTCCTGTGAGAGGCAGGAAAGAGTTCTGCTGGGAAGAGATCCAGGACACTGGGCTGGCACAGTGTGACGCTGGCCATCTGGACTTTGAACAGCCCCATTTCTGCCTACAGTGGAGTTAACTGAAACCAAGAGTCAAACCCTCCCCAGAGGCACACAGCAAACAGAGAAGAAACGGAATGAGGATTTTTAGCATCAGGGAGTACCCTCCAGGAGCTGAAGTGGCAGTTACAAGAAGGCATTGTAGATTTGGTCAGACAAGAACTCTGACTCCTCAGTGGCCCGTAAGACACAGAGGTGTCACTCAGCCTGTTCATCTGCTCTGCAGAGTTTGGGGAAAAGTGGGTAACCCTGGATTGGCTTCTTCTTGCCTTTTCTGGTATGCCCTGACCCCATCCCACTACAGGCAGGTAGTGGTGATGTCAGAGCCCCAAGCAGCAAAGTCACAAGCTCACAAAGTAGCTGTGTCTCCCAGGCCCTCCTCGCACCCTCAGGGGCAAGATCCAAGCCAGCCAGGCACCATTACAGACATGCAGCTGTCTTTGCTGGTCTGAGATGTTCCTGCTGTGCGTCACACTCAGACCTGAGCCTTGGCTTGCTGCTGAGCCTCGGCTTGCTGCTGAGCCTGGTGGCTACCACACTGCAAGTGATGCTTTGCATGTCCACATACTTGGTGCATGTATGGCTGGATGTATGTCAGTACACAGGAGTGAGTGCCTGTGTGTGAACGGCACTTCGCCCAGTTCATACAGCTGTTGTGGATTTATCTTTATGGACGTGTCTCTGGGAACGTGACACCTGTGGCCCTGTGCGTCTGTATGTGGGTCACAGTCGCCTGGTGGGATGGCCTCTGTCTGGCAAAATCGTTGAGTGTGTGGCTATGTGTCTATCTGCTTTATGCCAGAGTTTGTCAGACTTGGCACTGCTGACTTTTTAGGTGCCACCTGGTGCTTTGTAAGGTGTTTAACATCCTCTCCCCTGCCACTAGATGCCAGCAGCAAACCCCCTCCCCTGCAATCAAAAACGGCTAGATCTTGCCAAGTGTCCTCCATATCTCCTACCAGGACCCTGTTGAGAACCACTGCTTTTTTTTTTTTTTCCTAAAAAAAAGTTACGTCTATATTCATTTATTTGAATGACAGAGAAAAAGAGACAGACAGGGCCCGGCACGGTGGCGCAAGTGGTTAAAAGGTCCTCGCCTTGCACGCCCGGGATCCCATATGGGCGCCGGTTCTAATCCCGGCAGCCCCGCTTCCCTTCCAGCTCCCTGCCTGTGGCCTGGGAAAGCAGTCGAGGACAACCCAAAGCTTTGGGACCCTGAACCCGCGTGGGAGACCCGGAAGAGTCTCCTGGCTTCGGATCGGCATAGTATCGGCCCGTTGCGCTCACTTGGGGAGTGAATCATCGGACGGAAGATCTTCCTCTCTGTCTCTCCTCTCTGTATATCCGCCTTTCCAATAAAAAAAAATAATAAAAATAAATCTTTAAAAAAAAAAGAGAGACAGACAGGCAGAGATCTTTCATGGTTTACTCTCCCAAATGCCTGCAACAACCAGGACTAGGTGAGATGAGAGACAGAAATCCAGAGCTTACCTTGAGTCTCCCATGTAGGGAGATGTCTGAGCCATCACCTGATTCATGGAAAGTTGGAAATCAGAAGCAGAGCCAGGGCCGGTGCGATGGTTCACTGGCTAATCCTCCCCTTGCAAGTGTCAGGATCATATACAGGCACCACCAGTTCATGTCCTAGCTGTACCATCCAGGTCCCTGTTTGTGGTCTGGGAAGGCAGTGGAGGATAGCCCTTGGTACCCTGCACCTGCGTGGGAGACCCAGAAGAAACTCCTCGCTCCTGGTTTTGGATCAGCTCAGCTCTGGCTGTCACAGCCATTTGAGGAATCAGCGACTAGATCTTTTCTCTCTGTAGATCTCCCTTTCCAATAAAAATAAATGTAAATTTAAAAAAGAAGCAGAGCCAGGACTCAAACCCAAACACTCCAGTTTGAATGTAGGTATCTTAACCATTGCCACCAAATACCCACCCCAAAAGGTCACAACCTTATGCTTTTGCTGCATCTTGAACTTGTCTATGTGTGACTCTGGGTGCCTAAGCATAGCAGATGTTTCCAATATACACACCTGGTAAGTCTGTATGTATCCTGTCTGTTCTTCCCTAGTAATGAACTAGATGAACAACTTGCCAGGCAGAATTTGTGTCTCTTTTGTGCTTTCTGGATATGTCTGAAGGTATACTCTGTGTGTGTATGTGTGGTCTGCCTCTGTACATATCGACCAGTACTCATGTACAAGGATTTGTGCGTGTGTACGCCCGCACGAGTGTGTGAACACAGATGTGGTAAGCATAGTGGGGGTGGTGAGCAGGGAGGGACAGGAACAGGGATATTAATGTTTCTGAAGTGGCTCTGATTTGATATGTCTTGTTCCATTGTCAGCATCTGTTTAGCGGGGATTTGTAATACTTTGTGGCTCCGGATCACTCATGCTTAGCTCAGGATGTGGCCGTGCATACCAATTTTGTTATTAAACACAGTCCATGCCTCCCCCACAGCCCATCCATCACCTCCCGCCCTGTCCCCCGCCTGCTCTGAGCCACCCACCATATTTCAGGGCCTAGCTCCTGCTGCCTGCCGCACCCGATGCCGGAGGGCCTGGGGCTGACAAATTGAATCAGGGGGAGATCATTCCTGGCCTAACACAGTTTGCAGCATGTTGGAGGGAGAATTGACAAGAGCCATGTCAGCCCCATCACCCCCATCCCACAGGAGTGTAAAGCAGGCAGAGGGCAGGGGATGGCAAGAAGGGGGCTTTGGAGGCAGGCAGAGCCCTCAGGGCTGAGGCCAGAAGTCAGGTAAAAAGCCCTTTCCCCGAGATCTACTGGGAAATCTGCTATGTTCAGTGCCAATGTCCCCCTCCCCGTGGCATGGCCCTTGCTGGCTCCTGATAGAGGCCAAACTAGGCCAGACCACTGGCTTAAATGGACTTGGCGAGCTGGGTGGGGCAAGGCTGTGCCTTCTCTTTCTGGGATCTTCCTATTACTTTCCCCTGGGATACCCCGGGCAGCAGGTGGAATGTCACCCTGTTCTTTTCTTTTTTTGGCAGCAAGAATTCCCTTCTGAAGGATGCCATGACTCCAGGCACTCCCAAGGTAGGTGATCTACTACATCTTTTCCTCTTGCCCACCCTAACCAAGGTCCACCCAGAAATGGTCCCTCGGGGGCGGGGGGTGGGAAGGGAGCTTCTTCCTGGATCCCCAGCTGCCTCAGGATTTGAGTTTCAGTCTGAGGCCAGGGCTGCTGATGTGTGAGTGTGTAGCCTGTGAGTGAGGGAGAACCCAGCTGACATTTAGGGAGGGGAGGGCTCAGAACCCAGAATGACCTGGGGGCTGCAGACCACTCAGACATTACGGCTGGGGAGGCTCTCCATTGTAAGCAGAAGTACAGCAGATGAAAAAAAGAGACACAGAGAGAAAATGAGGTCAAGTCAGACCATGAGTGGGCTGGAGTGGGAGGTAGGGACACTCTGAGGGCAGCAAGGAGCCAGAAAGAATACTGGGATCACGGTGGGAGACAGGCTGCCCGCTCTGAGCAGGGACTAGGGCAGACACACTTGACTGTCTCAGAAGGAGAAATGCAAGGGCCTGACTCAAGGGAGGGGCCTAGGAAACATAAGGACATCACCACCCTCTGCGCAGGTGGCCTCAGGGAACTGGTGCTGCTCTCCCCAAAGAGAGGATGTTAGAGGGATGGAGAGAAGGGGCCAAGCATCTTCTCCAGCCCTCAGTGTGCCTTTACACCCTGTTCTCACATGTATTCACTGAAAGGCAGGAAGTCCCAACCTGTGCTACGGGGAGCACAGAAGCTTTGGGTACAGATAACAATCTGGAGAAAGAGTACGCAGAGATTACAGCAAAAGCCAAAAGCAAGAAAGAAGAATCTGGAGCTAGATAAGGTGCTGGGGGCAGGCAAGACTTCAAGGGAGGAAAAGAGAGCTCGTGTTATCTGTCTGGAGGGAAAGGCTGGTAAAGGGGCCCCTTGTATTTAGAAGCCTTAAAGTCACTAGTGACCTGGGAGAGAACAGTTGTAGGAAAAGGAGCCAGAGGGACAAGTGTCACGCCCTCCCCCAGATTAGCCCCACTCTCCTGCTGCAGGATTCTAGAAAGGGTGGGAGTAAACTGTACACCTTCAGAAAACTGCACAATGGCACCAACCTGGGAATAGACATAGATCAGCCTTGGATGGATGTGGGCCTTGGCCAAGGAGGCAAAGCCCTTTGAGCTCTAAAGAGAGAAGGTTGGAAGTACCAGGCAGCTGTGCACTCCTAGAGGTAGAGAGACAAGGGCTGCAGCACATGATGGTGAGGATATGGCAGGCTAGGGACAGACTTCCAGGTTGGTCAGTACACAGTGACATCTAAGAGCTGAGTCTGGCTGGAGGGGCTGCAAACTTAGGTACCAATGAGGCCTGCATCCTTAGGGAAAACCCCTGTAGTTGTAATCCACATGCACACCTAGCTGCCCCCACATACGCAAACATAATCAGCTGAGAATGCACACAGAGAGTCTTAAACTGCCACCTTCCTGCAACCACAGGCCCAGGCATGTTGCTTATAAGTCATAGAGACAAGGTGCATCTGCCCAGGCTCTCTAACAGCTAGGCAGTTGGGGGTCTCTCCTCTGCTTTGACCTGAGCTTGGGGTCATGCATGGCAGAGGCAGGAAGAAGGCTGAGACTGAGAGGATGCAGAAGTGGAAGGAGGGAGGAGTGGGGAGGAGGAGGGGGCGAGGGGGCCTGAGACAAGATTGATGGCCTCGTTGCCATTAAGAAAAAAATTAGCCGGTGGCGGCTATCATATTAAAGGGTGAAGAAGCCGTGAATTATTTTCTTAAAGATCTTATCGCTTACAATGATAATTTTACCTTCCAAAAGGCCACTTTTAATGAGGCGAAGAGCCAGGCAAAAAGTCATGATTTAATGCCGGGACTTTTTTTTTTCCAAACACATTTTACTGCTTTTTGGGCCGTGTTTAAAAAGCGCCGATGACCTTTTTTTATTCTGCTTGCCCCAGGTGTAATGCTGAGGCCTCTCAGAACTTCTAACCTAGAGAGGAGGAGGGAAAAGAACAGGCGACACGGGCAGCAGCTTGCTTGTGGTGGCGGGGGCCCACGCTGTTCCCTGGCCTCAGCATCTCTTCGGACTTGATGCTTATAAGTCCTTCCTTTCTTAGGCAGGGGCAGGGAGGGAGATCCACCCACCTAGACCTCCTGTTGGGCTTGGCAGTGAATTTGGAACTCTGAGTTGCAGAGAATCCACTCCAAGCCTTCTGCAGCCTGCTCTGTCCTCCAGCTCCTGGGCTGTGGACTCCTGGGGACTCCTGCCTACCCAGCAGCTGCCTGTGCTCCCCCCACCCCCTTTCTTCCCAGGGCCCTTACCCGAGGATATGTGGCATGGCCACTGCATGCAGGTCACATCCTAAGGTGCAGTCAGAGATGAAGGGTAAATGGCCGCTCCATCTTTCCCAAATTGCTTTCTTTGGGCTGTCACTGGTGATTTGGCCTGGGTTTCTGGGCCACGGAGGACTCCTGGGGAATTGTGTGTTTCCGGTCCAAAGCTGTGCAGGCGGAGAAGGGGGTGGGGTAGGGAATGCTCTCATCTCTGCAGCCACCCCCTGTGCCTCATCGAATCCCGCTTTCCCATTCTGCAGCTGAACAGGCCTGGCAAGGGCTGGTTCTTGGACTACACGTGCCATGTGGTATTTGGAATTGTGGTGTTCGCACACAATTTGAGGCAGACAGTTTATTAATCTAAACTGCAGGTGTATGTAGAAGAGGCTGTGCAGGATTGACATAGGGGGATTAGTTTTGCTGGGGTTTTGGCTCGGGTCATCGCTGCAGCACGGGGATAAATGGACCCAGCGTGCATCCCTAGCTGCGTGTGGGAAACTCATACATACTATTTATTTACTGTCTCTACCGCAGGGCTGCTGTCAGCTGTATTAGGGGCAGGCAGGGTGGCGGATATATGCTTTTACCCCCCAGCCTTTCCTGGGGCTCCTGGAATCTCAGCTGTCTTAGTGAGAATAAAGTATGGAAAGCCTCAGCCCACCTAGATAGAGATTAGCCTCGGCAGGGGCAGGAGGTTTGCACCTCTGCAGGGGGAAGCATCTTCCAGCCTAAACTCAAGCCATCCTCACCCCCACCCACCTGCCCAGGGCTCAACTACTGCTTTGACAACCTCCAGCATGACCTCTCTCTCCCTCTGCCCTCCGTTCTCTGCCCTGATCCCCAAAGCTCTGACTGAGCCATATGCCCTGTCTCTCCTTCCAGTCCCTCCTGCTGTCTGCCTCCATCAAGCGGGAAGGAGAGTCTCCCACGGCCTCACCACACTCCTCCGCCACTGACGACCTGCACCACTCGGACAGATACCAGGTGAGGAAGGCGGAAGGAGGTTGCAAAAAGTTGTCCCCTTTCTTAGGGACAGGGGGCTGAGAGCTGCAAGGCCAGGTGGCCTCGGGTAAACGCCTCCCCTCATTGGGAGCCCGAAACAGAATCTAAAAGTGATTTTTGGTGAACTCAGAAGGTATGGATGGCAGGAAATCAGCCGTAAGCAGATGGACAAGGTCCTCAGGGTTCTGAGCTCCAGCTCTGAAGCATACTATCCAGTGGGGACCATCTCAGGGGGTTCGGTTCCCCTGAGGGTCACAGAGACATAGCCTGGGACCACTAAAGATGTCATTCTTCAAAACAAGACCGCCTGAACAGGTAACTCTTCCATCCTGCCAAGCTCCACTATCAGGCTCTGGAAGAGGACCAGGTAGGCCTTTCCTGGGCATGTCCCCAGCAAACAGCAGGGGAACAACTCCAGAGTCCCAGGAGGCCAGCACAGCTGAGGGTCTCAGGGTGGCATCCCGGTAGAGACATGAAGGCAGACACACTTGCACCAGGAGCTGTTGTCTGAGATGGAGCATGAGTCTGTCTCCGGGAACCCCAGTCAAAAGGAAGGAAACAGGGCCCTGCCCCAGGAAACATTCATCTCACAGGCACCAGGGCTTCTCCAGGACACCTCCTCTCCTTCCCACCCCACCACCCGCTTAAAAAGAGGAAAGAAGACTTGGCTGACTGATGTGGACAAACACAGCTGCAAGAGTCTTCCAACTATCAAAAGGTGTTCTGATGCCAGAGGGCAGAGCCCAGCAGGTGCAATGCCATGTGGGGCCAGGACACCTCCTCCCAGGGATGCTTCTGTGAGGGGTCTCAACCTGTAGAGTCCAAAGTGGCAGCCCTTGGCAGCTATTCCCTGTTCCCACGCATTCTGTGCCTACCACCCTCCTGCCATCAAAGGCCTGTCCTCAGCTTCACTCAGCATCAGCCTCACCATCTGCTGCCGAAACTGGCAAAGAATCACCAGCGGGGAAAAATGGTCACAAGTCCCTGACTCCTATTCCTACCTTATACCCCCAATGTTGTTATATTTTCTCTTCAAAAAATAGGAGGACCATACAGACCATACACTATGGCCATATACGCCCTCCTTTCCCTGCCCCCTCCATATTCACATGCAGCATTGTACATCCAGCTAACTTCAGGGAAATTCTAGAACCCATCCAGATCTCTCTCAGAGGTCTTGGTGGCCCAGGGTAAGATCCACGACCTTGTTGTAAACTCTAAGTACATGAATTCAAGGGCAAATCAAATTCAGTTATTTCCTACAAGTTCAAACTTCTTAGCACGGAACCAAGGCCTTTATGATTTAGACATGGGCCTCTAGGAAGCCTCCACGCCTAACCCGGCCCTCCACAAAGCCGGGGAGCTATCCTCACTAAGTTAATGCTAACCATTTCTCTCTTGCCCCCATGTAATTACACATGCTCTTCCTGTGAGTAGGACTATTTAATCTCACCCATCAAAGTTTTAACAGCCTGCCCAAATACCTTCTCCTCTAGGAAGCCTTTATGGATTTCTTCTTCTCTGGACTTGTGTATGCCCCTGTTGTGACTGTCCCTGTCACCGGACATTGTGATCACCTGGTCAGATGTGGTGTGGTTGTCAAGTGATGTACAGCTAAGCATCCTCACACTTGCAGCCTCCATACAATGTACTGCTTTGGGTGATTCTGTGTGTCACCTGGGCATTCCTCCGCTCGGCGCACATTCAGCAGGAGGGCCTGGCTGGGCTAGAAATTCCAAAATGATCTCACCTCATGTCCAGGAGTTTGGGGGCTTTTTTCTGTCAGGGGCCATTTGGATATTCATGGGCCATACAAAAAGATTTTGGGATTTCATGTCCCACCTAGGTTTGCCTCCACAGGGCCAAACCATATGATTTTGTGTGCCTTATATGGGTCAAATGTCACCCACTCCAGTCCTAGAAGGTGGAAATCAGCTTTTTGGCACAGTGGCACACCGACACAGTGAAAGCCAAGACTGTAAGAGCTCCTGAGGCCAAGCACTGGAAACTCACGCATGGCTTCCAGCATTTTCTATCAGGCAAAGCAGGTCGCAAAGCTAGCAAGGAATGAGGAAGTGCAGTTGAAGATAGAAGCTGCAAATAGTGGTCATATTTAATCTCTTGCCATGAATCTGACTGGTCCAGGCAACTTGGAGATCCTCCAAGGCAAGGACCTTGCCTTATCCTTCCTGTACACTAACATTCATGGAGGACTGCATGCTGCTGTGTATCCTTGCCTCCGAGGGGTGAGATTTGCCAGGAGGGAATGATGACTCCGTATCTGAAGTGCTAGAACAGAGGTGTAAGTCTGTTTCTAGGATAACACAGTGGAAGGAGGAGAAATCAGAGCAAGTGTGGCAGAGGAGGCAATGACTGAACAAATTTCCAAAGACAAGGCAGGGCTCATGAGGTGAACAAGGAAGCAAGCATATTCCAGGTAAAGGCAACACTTTGTGCCAAGGTAAAACAGAGTGCTATCTTGGGGGATGTGTGAGCACTTCAGCTCTGGTGGAAGGCAGAATTGCAAGGTGAGTTGGTGGGAGATGCAGTGGGAATACAGCTTGGGAATGAGCTGGCTCACTTACAGCTGCATTTAAAAAACTACTGAATTCAGCCTTGAAAGTCAGGGTGGGGGTTGCTTCTGGTATGGATTCCCATGTACTTAGTTCCTGTTGAGTATTCTACCCTCTTTAACCATTATCTGACAAGCTAGGTGTCAGTGCTCCCGATTTATTAATAGGCTTGGCCAGGCTTTTCTAAGAACACATCAATTATGAGAATCAGAATTTGAACTTGGGTCTAACTGGCACTGAATCCTAGATTGTTTCTCCAGCCTTCAACAGCCTTCAGGGTTTCCCTCCGCTTCCCACTCATAACCCTTCCTGCCAGACCTTGGGTTGGGTAGGGAGGTGTTCTATCATGGAGAAGGTCCAGGCATATTTATAAAGCAATCAAAATGGTCATGCTTAGAGGGGAGCAAGGGACCTGGGGCGAGAGGGTGGAGGGAAGAAGGCCCCTTGGAGTCCTGAAGAACAGCAATTAACCAAACAGAACACATGGTGGAGGAGCATGGAAAAGATCTGACCCAGAGACCACAGCTCAGGCACTCAAGGAGCTCCAGGTATTCAGGAGGGCCAAGCGAGACAGTGGGAGGAGTCGGAGTCTCCAGAAGCCCACGGAGACATCAGGCTTGTAAGTCAGGTTGCAGATCTAGGTGAAGACCCCAGAAGGATTAGAGGGAGTGAAACAGGGTTGCTTTTGCACTCTTGAACAATCCCAGTGTAGGAGCTGGGATGAGATGGAAGACAGTTGCTCAGCTAGAGAGCTGCTGAGGTTAGGAACTGGAGCGGTGACAGCTAAGGGAGGTGTGGCTACTCACCCACTAGATGAAGGCGCGTCTTGTCTACATCTAGTACTCTGGGTTCACCATCCCTGGAATGGTCATTCCACTGGCAAAAACGTATACAAGCCATCAAGGCACAGGGACCTAAGACCTCCTACAGCAAGTTATAGGCCTGGAAGGATGAGTAGGAGAGAGGCGGAAGGGAGAAAACGTGAGGGATCTTCGGAGGTGCACTCCCAGAATCCAGAGGACGCAAGTGGGTACACCTGAGCTGCGATCTGTGCGCCCAGGAGGGAAGCACCTGGTGGAAGCGGGGGACACCTGTGGGTGACCAGCTGAAACGCTGGCGAATCCCGACAGGTCCAAGATAGGCTAGGAGCTAGGAGCTCACGGATGACCCAAGGCCCCGACGACTTCTACCCAAGAAGAGCCACTTTCTGCGCCGCTACCCCGGGACGTCCCCGAGCCAGGCGGGAGGCCAGAGCCGGGCAGGGCTCTGGGGCGGAAGTAGCCCCGGAGTGGGAGGGGACGTGGGGCGGGGTGCAGGTTGCCGGCGGCCGCCAGCCAGCAGCCGGTAGGCCTTGGGGCAGGGGGAGGGACCCCGAGGCGGCCCTAGCCGGTAGCTGCTGGAGTACGAATGACGGTTTCCTGGTCCCGGTCGGGCCGCCCCCATCCCGGACACACACACACCGTGAACTTTCACCCCCCGCGCGCTACGGCGGCTGGTCACGTGACTAGGGCCAACATGGCCGCCGCCGCTGCTGGGAGCTGAGGTGCCGCCACCGCCGGGCAGCCGGGGGGAATCCGCCCGCATCGCCGCCCTCGCCGGCCGGGCGGCTGCGGGGCCCGGAGCGCCGAGGGGCCGGAGCCGGAGCGTCACCGCGCCGTGGCCACGGGGTCCCGTTAGAACAGCCTTCGGCGGCTATGCCGAGGGCCCGGAGCGGCCGGCGGAGCAGGGGGGCCGGCGGGAGGGAGGAAGTAGGTTTGTTTACGGGCCGTTTGGGGCGGGGCAGAGCTGGGCCGGGGTACGATGAGGGGGCAGGGGCCAGGGTCCCCGGGCCGCGACTGACGCTCTGTTCTCTTTTTGCATCTGCCCGGGATCTTTTCCCAGACCTTCCTGCGAGTGCGAGCCAACCGGCAGACCCGACTGAATGGTGAGTCCCGCCGGCCCCTCCCTCCGCCCCACCCCCGGCCTCCTCCCTCCCTCACCGCCCGCCAGCTCCTGGCTCTCCTGGGTCTCTTCGCTATCGGGGCCCCTTGGCTTGGCAGTCACAGCGCCTGAGCATGTGCACACACCCAGGCTGCCGCCCTCAGTTTCCCCGTCTGCCTAGTGGAGGTTATGGTTCCCAGCTCTTGGCCAGGCCTCTCCGAAGGCCCCCGAAGAACCCTGGCGGGGGGTGCAATAAGTGACAGTGAATGAGGAACAAACTACACAGTTTCACTCGGGAGCGCAGCTTTGAATTTGCAAACTGCTGGGACCTCACTATACCAGCCGGCGGGGCGCTGAGAATGTTTTTCTTCCAGTTTTTAATCAGTGTGCCCAGGAGTGTGAATACAGCCTTTCTGCCGAGACTTGACAATGCATTGAGATCTGGAGTTCCCACGGCAACAGGAACTAACTCATCCCGGGGCTCTTTGAGTTATCAGTCGGCCCACATTTCACAAAGGTGATCAGCATGGGCCCGACAGCTCTTAGAGGCCCTCTCTGAAAGCAGGCGGTATATGCACTACCTGACGGCTCCCCTTTGGATTCAAACCTCCGGAGCATTCCTGTCTTCTGAACACAATGGAATGAGCCCCGCTTTTTTTGTGTGTGTGTGCTGGCTGGGGTGTGGTCTGTGTGGGGGCTGGCTGTAAGGGGGCCATAGGGTCTCGAGGCCAGCTGGTGAGTGAGCAGGGCCAGGGACATTCAAGATCCCCAACTATTATCCCTTGGTTTCTGCTACCGGGCTGAGCCCCTGTCTGGAAAAGGGAGAACATTCATTATAGCCTGGCCTCATGGTAAGCAGCATTCTCCCAACACCCGAGAGGTTAGTATTATACGCATTGTGTAACTGAGAACACAGAGGTGAGAGTGATTTGTTTAAGATCACACAGCTGGGCCGGGACTGAGCCACGATTGAACTGAAGTTTGTTTACTGGCAAAGCCCTGCGTTGCCTTCCATGCTGCGCTGACTCCTTGGCAACCGCTTTGAGCTTTCCTACTCAGAGGCAGTGCCTGGGCTGAGCACAGACGCTCCCCAACCACACTTGAGCGAGCTTGGTTCAGGCCTCGGAGGATAAATGGCGAGGGATAGCCCAAACCTGCCCAGCTCACCTGGGCGTTTGCACATGACCACCAGTCTAGTAGGGTGCTTTGCTGCAACTGTAAGGGATCTTCTGGGTGTTCAAAGAGCCCATCCTGTATCATGCCCTCCCCAGCAGTTCGCAGAGATCCGTGTGTTTTTTCAGTCATTGGACAGCGGCGGTCACTTTACCCAGGGAGGCACTCCTCGGTAACTCCAGGCAGGGTAGGTGAGGCACCTTTGTGTCAGCACACTGCCCCATTCTGGGCTTCTAGAACCCACTGGACTCCTTCGTTTCACACTTTTTTCATGTCTCATGCCTCTTGTCCATCCCAGCCCACGTTCTAGAGTGTCAAGCCTATCCCTGAGCTTGAGATCCCAAGGACTGGACAAAGTGAAGTGATCTGGATGTTTGTCCACAAACTCATGTAGGGCACCAGAAGGCGTGAAAACACAGATGGCAGGAGGTGAGCCAGGCTGCAGACCGAGGTTGTGGGAACTCCACATGCAGTTCTGGTGGAATGGGGACTCCTCTCTAGTTTGGATTTTTTGGGGCTATTCTTCTTCTTCCCCCACAATGGTAGGTTTGAAAGGCAGAGTTAGAGCTTCCAATTAATTGTTGGTTCACACCCCAAAAGGCTTTAATGGCCACAGCTGGGCCAATTCAAAGCTTCTTGTAGCTCTCCCACCTGGGTGGAGGGGCCTAAGCACTTGGGCCATCCTCCGCTGCTTTCTCAGTTACATTAGCAGGAACTGGATTGCAAATGCAGCAGTAAGAACTCGAACTGGTCCGCATATGGGATACCAGCTCTGCAGGCTGCAGCCGAAGAAGCTACTGTTGGAGTAGCTACCAGCCTAACATCTTCAAAAGGCAGGAAGGTCCTGGCGCTCTTTTTTTTTTTTTTTTTTTTTTTTTTTAAGATTTGTTATTTTTATGGAAAGTCAGATATACAGAGGGGAGGAGAGACAGGAAGATCGTCCAACCGCTGATTCACTCCCCAAATGGCCACAATGGCCAGAGCTGACACACTCAGGATAGGGGCTTCCTCTGGGTCTCCCATGCAGGTGCAAGTTCCCAAGACTTTGGACCATCTTCAGCTGCTTTCCCAGGACACAGGCAGGGAGCTGGATGGGAAGTGGGGCCACTGGGATCCTGCTGTGTGCAAGGCAATGACTATGGCACTAGGCTACCTCAGTCACACTTTTTTTTTTTTAAGATTTATTATAATTGGAAAGTCAGATATATATAAAGAAGGAGAGACAGGAAGATCTTCTGTCCAATGATTCACTCCCCAAAGCAGCCTCAACAGCCAGAGCTGAGCTGATCCAAAGGCTGGAGCCAGGAGCTTCTTCCAGTCTCCCAAATGGGTGCAGGGTCCCAGTGCCTTGGGCCATCGTCTCCCAAATGGATGCAGGGTCCCAGTGCCTTGGGCCACCGTCTACTGCTTTCCCAGGCCACAAGCAGGGAGCAGGATGGGAAGCAGGGCCACTGGGACACGAACCGGTGCCAATATGAGATCCTGGTGTGTGCAAAGCAAGGGCTTCAGCTGCTAGACTACCATGCTGGGCCCACTTTTTTTAAAGGAATTTTTTGTTTTTAGTTTGTTTATTTTTATTAGAAAGTCAGAGAGGAAGATCTTCCCTCTGATGGTTCACTCCCCAAGCGGCCACAATGGCTGGAGCTGAGCCAATGCCGAGTCAGAAGCCTGTTCTGGGTCTCCTGCATGTGTGCAGGGTCCCAAGGTACAATTTGTGCTGTACTTGACTGATTTCCCAAGCCACAAGGAGGGAGTTGGATGCGAAGTGGGGCTACCGGGATTAGAACTGGCGCCTATATGGTATTCCAGCACATTGAAGTCAAGGACTTTTGCTACTAGGCTACCATGCCGGACCTAGGCTTATTTTTTAAAGATTCACTTATTTGGTGCCTACACAGTGGTGCGGCAGGTTAATCCACCATCCTGTGGCTCTGGCATCCTATGTCAGCACCAGTTCATGTCCCAGCTGCCCCACTTTTGATCCAGTGCTCTGCTTATGGCCTGGGAAAGCAGTGTAGGATGGCCCAAGTCCTTGGGACACCACACCCACATGGGAAACCTGGAAAAGGCTCCTGGCTCCCAGCTTAAGACCAGATCAGCTCTACCCATTAAGCCACAGTGCCAGCCCTGGGTTGTTGATGCTGCCCAGTCAATGACTCTTGCACAGGAGAGTGTTCTAGGCTGTGGAGAAAGACCTGATTTCCTAGCTTAGCTTTTTTTTTTTTTTTTTTTTTTTTTTAAGATTTATCTATAGTGGGCCAGGCCCCATGGCCTAGTGGCTGAAGTCCTCACCTTCAATGTGGGAGACCCGGAAGAGCTCCTGGCTTCTGGCTTTGGATCGGCTCAACATCAGCCGTTGCTGTCACTTGGGGAGTGAATCATCGATGGAAGATCTTCCTCTCTGTCTCTCCTCCTCTCTATATCTGACTTTGCAATAAAAATAAATAAATCTTGAAATATATATCTATTGTTATGCAAAGCCAGACATACAGAGAAGAGAGAAACAGAGGAAGATCCTCCGTCCTATGACTCACCCCTCACTCCCAGTGACCACAATGGCCGGGGCTGCATGGATCCAAAGCCAGGAGCCAGGAGCTCCTCTGGATCCCCCATGTAGGCGCAGCAGGGTCCCAAGGCTTTGGGCCATCCTTGACTGTGGCTTTCCCATGTCACAGGCAGGGAACTGGATGGGAAGCAGGGCTGCCAGGCTCAGAACCTGTGCCCATATGGGATCTGTGCATCCAAGGTGAGGACCCAGCCACCAGGCCATGGCACCAGGTCCAGCTTAGCTTTCTGCTACATGTTAGCCACTTGGACATTTGCCATGACCTCTGTGAATTTCAGGTTTCTTTGTTAGCAGGGGGTCATGCAAAGGTAGTTTCAGGGTGCAAAAGTAAATGAGCTCCCTTATAGGATGTACTTGGCTCTGAGCCCGTAATAGAAACTTTCCAACTCTCACCTGCATTCCCACTAGAGCCTACATTTATGAACATCCAATCAGATCTGCAGTCTGTATCCATGAGAAGTTTCTTCCTGCCCCTCTCCTCTCCATCAGTCTGGTGTTGTAGCAGCCTTCTCTGCATCCTGGGAGGGGCTGGAGGGAGTAGAGTCCCTTGGTTTGACCCCTTCCTGCAGCGGTGACAGGAGGGCTGCAGAGAGGGATTAGTGAGCTAATTAGAAATGATTGCATCTCTCTGCATTAATTAGCAGTGCTGTGGGCTTGCAGTGTGCACTTTGGAACTGAGCCTCCTGTGGGACAGCAGAGCAGGCAGCCCTCTGCCTCAGGGGCCTGCCAGCCCCTCTAGACTGATGAGAAATGATGGAACATTTTTGGAGAGGCACAATGAGGGCTGCCTTCTCAAGCTAACCTGGGTCTTCCCACCCAGTTGCTCAGAGTCTGACCCAAACCCTCTATACGTTTATAACCAGGCCTCAGTCTCCTAGCCTGCACAATGGAACCGGTAGACAGCTAGACAGTAGATGGCCGCTGAGATTAGAACCGGTACCCATATGGGATCCCGGCGCATGCAAGGTGAGGACTTTAGCCAGTAGACTACCATGCCAGGCCCTAGATAGTTCTTGAGTTGATTCTGTGAAGGAAATGTTAGGGGTTGTACTTTAGGCTCTTGGTTCTGGAACAAAAGGGGGCGTAGCTGCTGAGTAAGTAGTAGGCCCCTTATCGGGCTTCTAGAGGAGTTCTAGGTTCTGGCCAAGAGATCTTTTCTAGAGTTATGTTTCCCAATACCTGAAGAGCCTATGGTCATGGCCTTCTGGGAAGATGCAGTCTTTATCCACTGAGCTCTTAGGGAGCACTGCAGATGGGGAGGTATGGTTTGAGTGTGAGCCAGTTGTGGCTGAAGAATCCGTGCTTCCTGGCCTGGCCCCAGTCTCCTTCCCAGGTATTCCTGCAAGGCCTAGCCCACAAAGGAACAGGAGGCCCTGTATATGATGGGGCAGGGGGCATACCAGACCCTGAGCAAAGGGGCTAACGGCTGGCAGCAGGTCAGGGTGTATCCACTCCCCAGAGACCCTGTGAGCCACAGTGACCGTCTGCTTGTTCTGTGCTTTGTTTTCGGTTTCTTCGTGCAGCTCGGATTGGGAAAATGAAACGGAGGAAGCAAGATGAAGGGCAGGTATGTCCCCTGTGCAGCCGCCCCCTGGCAGGATCGGAACAGGAGATGAGTAGGCATGTGGAGCGTTGCCTTGCAAAGGTAGAGGGGCCACCACCACCCACTGTTCTTCCCTCCCCCCGACTCTAGCTGCTGCCTGCCCCTCAACCTCTGGGCTCTTGGGTCTCCATGGGATCTCAGCAGCTTCTTCTCCTTGGTGCTTTGCTCTCTTCTTTCGCTTTCCCTCTCACTCCCCTCTGGGGCTCCAGGGGAAAATTTGGGGGAAGAGGCCCAGGTCTATGATCTATAGATTGGGCTCATCTCAAAGGAGCCTCAGAGCCGAGGGGGTGCCCAGTTGGCACACTATAGCTGCTGGGGTTGGGGCTGTGCCTTCCTTGCAGGCTTTGGGGTACAGGGAGGAAGAGCCCGGGCGTCATGTGACCCTGCTCTGCTCTTCACAGAGGGAAGGCTCCTGCATGGCTGAGGAGGATGCTGTGGACATCGAGCATGAGAACAGCAACCGCTTTGAGGAGTATGAGTGGTGTGGACAGAAGCGGATACGAGCCACCACTCTTCTGGAAGGTGGTTTCCGAGGTACAAGCAGCTGACACACAGGCAGTGGGCACTCTGGTGGCCAACCCTCTGCTGGGTATCCGTCTGTTGGGAGTTGTGAGGCTGGTGGCTGGTCATCTGTTCCACCACATGGGAACTGCTGCTGGCCAGGCTCCTTTGTGACCAAGCTTCCTGCCTGTGCTGTGCATATTAAAATGGCTGTATTTGGGTGGGGAAATGGAATTGTGAGGCTGCAAGCTAGGAGTGACGAGGGGGGCTCTCAGCCTCGGGTGATGCATTGAAGGTGACAGCCAAGCCGCGTTAGCACCTGCATAAAATATTAAAGGGACGGTTATGCATTTATCACTCCATCCCTCTTAAGGCTGATAAATGAGAATCCAGCAACCTGCTGTACACCTCCAGCACTGGGAGCCCTGAGGGCTTCCAGGCAAACACATTGGATTTTCTTCCTCCTCCTCCTCAGCCCTGTGTCAGGGAAATCAGTTACAGAGGAGAGAGTGAGTTATGGCAAAATCTGACCTCCCATGAGCTTCATCGGTGAATCTAATTTTAGCTCTGATCCCATCCCCTCTCCCCAGGCGCCCTCTGCCCTGAAGCAAGAGGGATCCGGGCCCAGCTGCTCCTTGCTGTCCTGGGGCTCTGCCCAGTCACTGCAGAGGAGTCCCTAGGGACCTGCACGTCTCCAGTGCCCTCGCCACTCCTTGTAGACACCTGACTTCCCTTTCCCACTCCCCCAGCCAACCAGGTCAGACAGAATGGGTTAGGTGCCCAGAGTCTGTTCACCTGCCTCAGGCAGGGAGAGGAAGCTGCCTGCCTCCTGGCTGCCAGCTCTCTTTGCCTGTGTGCGAGCACAGCTGGCAGTGCAGCTTTTGGTCATTAACCAAGCCAGGCTGCTTGCCGTCTGCCTCCTGTTCTCTGGGCAACACCCCTGGGAGTACCACTGTGTATGGCTCCTGGGGAATCCCATAGCAACAAGGAAAAGCACCTCACCGCCCTGAGATGACTGCCTGGCTGTGCTCAGGAAATGGTCTCTGCAGTGCCATCTAGTACAGACTGGTCCCATGGGGCGACTGTTGGGACATGGGCCATTTTGTTTCTGGGCTTCTCTCACATCAGCCACACATCTGGGGAGAAGCCAAAGTATCCTTCAGGGAGGCTAGACTGCACAGTTTGCATGAGCCTGAGCTAGACCTTGCTATGTTTTGTTTCTCTCTGGCTCTGTCGCAGGGCATCGCGTGTCTGAGGCTCTGGAGGAGCAGCAGACTCTGTAAGAGCCTATGATTTGCATGCACAGGTGTCTGCTGGCAACCCCGTGGGGTCGGTTCCAGGATGCTGCACTTGGGTTAGCTGGTCCTTGCAGCTGTTCACATCTTCCATCGCTCTGGCAACTTCCTTGTCAGGTTTCTTGGCACAGCACAGGGCCTGATGGCTTCTGAGCCCCGGGCAGGACTTGTGGGGAGAGAGCTGCTGGGGCCTGCTGCTTTGACCAAGTGCTTCCCTGGTGCTGGGCTGCATTGGTAGAGTGAGGGCCTTGGGGGCCCTGAGCTGGTATCGGTTTTCCCTGAGTGTTTACACTGTGAGGTTGTTCCTTTCAAGAATTCCTGAGGAGAGTTCAAAGGGGGCTTTTCTTTGAGCGATTTGGAGAGCGAGAATGAGAGTGAGACTTGAAGAGGGAACGCTGGCCGGAGGTGCCTTTATCTGCAGAGAATTGCTCCAGCTTTCCTGATAGAAGCTGCTGCCGCCTCTTAAACAGCTTAGTGCAGTCAAAAGACAGACCGACTTGAAAGGCTGTTTTACAGCAAGATCAGCAGGGGCCACGAGGCAGAGAGCGGGCGCAGAGGAGCAGAGGAGGCTCCTCGGTAGGGGGGGCTATCAAAGGGAGGCCTTGGCTGCTCCTGCCTGACCCTGCCCCTGCTGAAGCTGGCCATCTGTCAGCCTACCCTCCCTGGCCAGGACCACTGGGCCTCAACTCTTGGGGGGTTGGGTGTGGCCTTGCCAGGCGGGCTGGTGTCAGTGCAGCGCATTGATCGCCCGCCGGGCGGGCCGGGCCGCCAGCCGGGCAGCGCGTGCTTAATGTGATTGAAAGGCAGTTAAAATGGCGGTGACCTTTTCAGGAGGAATTAGATTGCCTGCCAAGACCGGTTAGAGGGAGTGATAACGCCAGCTGAAGAAGCTGCCCAGCCGACTTCAGAGAGAGGGAGGCAGAGACAGGACGAGCAGGCGAGCGGCAGGGCCCGTTTAAGCTGCACTGTGCATGCTGACAGAACAGAGATTGCTCTCCTTGTTAGATATGAAAGAATTGAAGAACCGCAGATAAGTTCCTGTATCCGATCATCCAGGCTAGGGCCCCTTCACCCTCCTCAGCAAAGCTTCCCACCCAGGCCCCCTGGGAGCTGCTCTGATGAATCAGATTGGGTCCCTCAGAGGTAATCTGTGGAAGGCTGTGAGCCAGTGAACATTTCGGTGGAGACACTTGGCTGAGGGGACAGGCCTTGGGGATGGGGGTTCCTGGTTGCAGAGGGTGCAATCCAGTGCCCCAGGCCTGGCAGTGCTTACAATTGGTGATTTAGGCCAGTGTTCAGGACCTAAAACAGATAGAGCTGGAAGTATTTTTTTAATATTTATTTTTTATTTATTTGATAGGCAGAGTTAGTGTAGGAGAGACAGAGAGAGATCTATTAGTTCATTTCTCCATATGGCCACAATGACCAGGGCTCTTCCAATCCAAAGCCAGAAACCCAGAGCTGCTTTTGGGACCCCCACATGAGTATAGGGGCTCAAGCACTTGGACCATCTTCTGCTGTTTTTTAGGCACATTAGCAGGGATTTGGATCAAAAGTGGAGCAACCAGGACTCAAACCAGTACCCATGTGGGATGCTGGCATCACAGCAGCTTAACCTGCTTTGCCACAACACTGGCCCCTGGAAGTAGATTTTTAAGGCTGATGGAAATAGTAGGGATTTCATGAGCATACACTGGAAGAAATAGCAATGTGAAGACACAGGGAGGCCTTCCCTGGTCTGGGAGAACTCAAGTTCTGGATTTCGACTGCTGATTATCCTTGCAGTCTTTGGGTTTCTTTCATTCATTCATTCATTCATTCATTTTTATTGGAAAGGCGGATATACAGAGAGGAGGAGAGACAGAGAGGAAGATCTTCTGTCCCATGGTTCACTCCCCAAGCAGCTGCCACGGCTGGAGCTGAGCCATTCCAAAGCCAGGAGCCAGGAGCTTCTTCCAGGTCTCCCATGCGGGTGCAGGGCCCCACAGCTTTGGGCTGTCCTCAACTGCTTTCCCAGGCCACAAGCAGGGAGCTGGATGGGAAGTGGACTGGCAGGATTAGAACTGGCACCCAAATGAGATGCTGGCGCATTCAAGGCAAGGACTTTAACCACTACACTATGGCGTTGGGTTTCTAACTGCCACTGCTCTTTTCATAAAGGGCAACACACAGCCTTGAGCATCACTGATATTCCCATCAAAAAGAGACAGGTGGGAGGGTGCTCTCCTGGGGGAGCCATGCTGTGCATGGGCCAAGCTGGGGATCACAGGCTGCAGAAGCAGGACACAAGGAAGAACCTGGTTCTACAGCTCTGAGGTGGCCCTGTCCCGGCCTGAGGTCAGAGGAGCTGTGAGCTGAAGGAACCCTGCCTTTCCCCCTTGGTGCTCACATCCAGCTCTGGGATCCTCTATTGGCAAGCCATGGTCTGCAGCTCCATTGGTTGCCAACATGGGGGGCAGAGCTCATCATATCAGGAAGGGGGGCAAGCTAGAAAGAGGATATAAGAATGGTTTCAAATAGAGCGCCATTGATGTGGTGGGTACACAAGTAGAAACATGGAGGATCTCCCAGGAAGCAGCAGAACGAGTGGAAGGTGCCTTCAGTGTACCTTTGAGTCCTAGAGGTGAATGCCCTGTCAGTCCAGCATGAAGCTCCTTTGGTCACTCAGGTGGAGTCTGGAAGTGAGGTGTGGATAGCTGAGACCTTCAGAGCTGGGTAGGGTTTCTGCCTTGTCTGGATCCCAGCCTGAGGACTCTTTTCTTTCTCAAGTTTTTGTCTTAGACTTAGACCAGTTCCAGGTCACCCAGCATGAGAAGTCATGGAGAAAACGGGCTAGGCAGCTTTAGCACAGATGGTTAACCAGCTGTTTCTTGATAAAACTTCAGCACCAGGGTGGGATATGAGGTAAAAGGTATGATACAAGGGCACTGGCACATAGGCCTTGCCCTAGCTGCTGCCACCTTTGGCATGCTGCTTCTGCAGACATGAGCCAAGATGCTAAAAATGGCCTGGAGCAGAGCCCTGCTGTCTGGATGGTCAGTGGCAGGTGCTGGAACCACACACTGCTGGAGGCAGTCTCAGGAGGGTTAGGGCTGCTGCCTGCTACTCCCTGCCACCTTTGGTTATGACTGTTGCCTGTTGGGAGGGGTGAGGGGTGGTAGCAAGGAGCAGGACACCTTCTGTCCCCTGTGGCAACTAGTGAGATTTAATCGCCTTTTGGAACACAATTGTTAAGCTGGGACAGAGGGAGTGCAGGCAGAAGGAGCAAGTATCAATGGTTTTAAACGGCGTCTGTCGCTCTACGTCTCTCCTGACGTGAGGCAGTGAAACGCGTTATCGGGGAGGCCCGGAAAGTGGCTAAGTGCGTTTGACACACGCCAACTCCCTGCCTCCACACTGGATAATTGCATTGTCAACTGTTCAGCGAGGTGGCAGGTGACACTGCAGACCGATTGATTGTCCCGCATCGCAGCTCCCCAGACTGTCAGCTCCCCAATCGATGGCGTTTACACAAGACACCGTAACTGCATCTGTAACTAATTCCAGTGTAAAACTCTCCGGAAGCTGCTGCCCCTGCCCTCCCCGTTGGCAAGCCTAGGCCTCAGGAGGGCCCCGGGACTTTTCCTTCTCCTGGGCTCTGGTTTTGTTGGGAGCAGCAGGTGAGGAAATCAATGGCTTCTTTTTTGTGGTTTCAGGTTCCAGGACGTTACTGCCCCCAGTAAACAGTCATCTCCAGTTTCTCAATCGATCATCTGATCAATTGATTAAATTAACACTGATTTCTCTCCTCCCACCCTTTCTCAGTGACCCAGGAAGAAATGAGTTTATAGGAATAGGAAAATAGTCGTTTTCATAAAATTTAAACATGCTTATCGTTTCTGCACTTAATCCTCTCTGTTTGTTATATTGCCAAGTTCACACAGGAAAGGAAGGGATTTTTTTTCTTTTTTCCACACTGTCCACACTCCGGGGCTGGGCAGTTCTAGCACCCACCCACTGGACATCATTGACCATCAGGCTGCATGCCTTGGACTAGGGGGTTCAGGCCTGTAAGCTGCTGGAAGATAACAGAGCCAAAACAAGGGGCCTCTGTCGTGACACCAGGAGCACCTGCCTGGAGTCCGAGTGCCTTGCCTGATTGGCAGCAGCAGGAGTGGCAGCTTGCCTGGCTTCCCTGGAGCTCCATGCAAGAGGAGCCAGAGACTTGGAAAGGAGCTGCCTGTGCCATCTTGCCTCTGAGTACTGGCTTGGGATATTCCAGCAGCTGAGAACATAAAATGACTGTGGAGCCTTCTCTGAGTGGGAGGGGGGGCAAGCTGGCGGGGGCGCTGTCTGCATAAAACAGCTTTATGGCCGTTTCTTTTTATTATGATTCTGCCAGAAGTCAGCAAGTGACATTTCATTAAGAAAATAAAGTTTAATGTGCTGGGAAGGAGGTTGGAGCAGGCTGGGGCAGTGCAGGAGTGGAACTGGCGGCAGCAGCCTGTTCTGAACACCTGTGGGGGTAGGAAGAGGTTCCCAGCATCTGTCTCAGTTGGGGGATTGGGTCAGAGTGAGAGCAAAGGCAGACCAGAGGCAGAGAGGCCTCTTCCTTGGTAGACATGATGGGTTATGCTATCCCTCTGGCCTGAGGGTCAGAGCTGGGAGCTGGAACTGGACAGGACGGTTGTGGCCAGGTTACCAGCTCCCCATGCCTGGCTTCCTCCTGGCACAGGGCTCCCAGGACCACTGGCATGTGTGGTCTGGGTCCTGGCTGCCTGTGCTGCATGGTGCTGAGATCACTGCCATGGGTTGGACTCTGGCCCCTTGCAGTTTTCCATCTGCAGAGGGACAGTGACCACACCTGGCAGTAAATGTGCTCTTGGAGTTGCACAGGAGTTCAGGCAGATGCTAGGAAAGGGACAGCTGTGTGTGAGTGCCTAAAGTCTCATCCACCACTCAGAGCACCTGGAGGATGGGGCCCGAGAGCCAAGAGCCTGTGCTCAGCACCTAGCCTCAAGAGGAGGATCTGAATAAAGGCTGTGAGGGAGACGAGGCGGGGAGCACTCATTCCCCAAGTATGGACTTACCAACTGCCAGTGTAGGTGCCATGAGTTCATAGCAAATGGCACAGTGGGTCAAGTCAGACCTACCAAATGACTACCAGGGAGCAGACGTTAGACAGGAGAGCAGCATTTGAGAAACCACAGTGCCCATTCTATACTAGAATTATAAGGCTGGCCCGAGCATGGCAGTAACAAGACTGCAATGGAGAGGCCTCTGGCCCCAGGGCGGTTTTCTGTGTTGAGAACCTGGTACTTGCTGGCAGCTCTGGCTGCCCTGCTTTTTCTGCTTTGCCATGGGAGACTTAACTGGGCTCACAAGTGGTATCAGGATTATCTACTTCCTTCTCCCTCCCTCCCTCTAAAGCAGGGCTGGCAGAGCCAGGCTGAGTGGAAGATGTGCAGCTGGCTGCTGAGCTGCATGTAGTCAGAAGAGGGGGGCTGCCAGGGCTCAGGGGGCGCAAGCTGTAAGTGAACCTGATAGCTTACATTCTGATTGATGGCGGAGTTTGTCTCCCAAACTGTCAGAGGGTTTATAGAGGTGCCACTCACCAACAAGGCTGGAATTGCTTGTCAGGACACCTGGCCGTGAACAGGAGACAGAGCTGTAACTTGGTGTTTTCTCAGCTTAATGGCCCCACTGCTGACCTGCCGGCTGCCTCAACTGTGTTGCTGCCTTCAAGTAGAGGGGAAATAAGCACTGTCAGGAAGGGCAGAGCCCAGGCCGTGCCAGCCGTTTTCCTTCCCGGGGTGCTGCTGCTTTTTGAGAGGGGTGAGCCTTGGTGAGACCAAAGACTGCAGCCATAGAGGGAAAGAGGATCAGGAAGAAAGTGTTTCAGGAAATGAAAAATGGTGATCATTCCAGAGAGAGCGAATGGTCTGAAACAGAGAAGAGGGGAGTTTAGGTATAGTGTGCAGTCTGCATATCTGTGCCCAGCACTGAGAGATGGAGCCAGACCTTCCCGTATCCTGCCAGGGAGCCTGGGCTTGGTTGTGCTGGGGCCAGGGACCATGGTCTGTTTTAGATCCCAGAAAAGAAGGGTCATAACTATTTGGTAAGCAGGATGAGGGAGTTACCCTATGAGAATGGAGCTCAGCGTGGAAAGGATGGACAAGAAGTTTCTGAGATGATCAGCAAGGCCCCAGGCTTGTGATTTCCTGGCCAACTCCACTTACCATGGAGTCTTGTATATATGTATGTATGTATGTATGTATGTATGTCCCTGGCAGAACCACTGTGCTGGCCAGTGAGATGTGGTCAGCGGCCCACTGGGAGGAAATAGGGGTGAAGGTGGCTCTTAGGCTATTTTAGTCCTGTGTCTAGGCTGTTCAGACAGGGAGTTTCAAGAGGCAACATAGCAGGTGAACTTGCACTGTCCCATTGGCTGAGAATCTGCCTGGGCTATGCCCAGGGCTACTGCCCTGGTGTGCCAGGAGGAGTCAGCTGCCTGCCCAGCCCTTGGCCTAGCCTCAGTCCAGCACGGTTACCTTCGTGAGCTTTCTTGAGAAGCAGGTGTGCATGCCTGTCCTACCTTGTGTGTCTCTTCCTAATCCCTTTATAACAACACTTGTCCAGGAATCTGGGCTGAGTGAGGTGGGGATGAATAATTAATGTCAGGCGCTTCAGACACCAAATATTTGAACAGCTGCCTGGTGTTTTTGCTGGCAAGGACCTGGCGGCCAAAATCGGGATGTTGGCTGAGAGTTGCACTCTATGGCTGTGATTGTCCTCGGCAGCCTGCGTGCCCCTCAGATGGACTTGTCAGTCTGGATGTTGGGATATAGGGAAGGCGTAGATCCAGGAAGGAGGAAACCTTTGAGACCTGAATATCTCTGTCCTCTTCCTGCTCTTCCTAGACCTGGAGGAGAGGTGGCTAGCAGGCCTGGACCCAGGTGCCTCCTGAGGGAGGACCTGGCTTTTTGTGTGAGTGGGCTAGTCTCTGAACAGAGGCCACTTGAAGCAGCATACAGTGCCCCGAGAAGGCTGAGGTAGGCACACAGAAGGCACTGCAGAGACTAAGTCAGGAGTACCCAGCAGCTGACCCAGCCCCACCCCCTTCCTGGGGGTCCTCCTCACACTCTGCTTCCCACAGGCTCCGGCTTCGTCATGTGCAGCGGCAAAGAGAACCCTGACAGTGATGCGGACTTGGATGTGGATGGGGATGACACTCTGGAGTACGGGAAGCCACAGTATCCTTGGGGCGCTGTGGGGTGAAGTGGGCTGGTGGGACAGGCCAAGGGGGTGAGAAGTGCCGAGTGCTCCCCCAGCACCAGTCTCAGCTTTGGCCAGGGGGAGCCCTCCTGAAAATAGAGCCCTCATGACCTGCACACTAGGATCCTGTTTCCTTGACCATCATGCCAGATACACGGAAGCTGATGTTATTCCCTGCACAGGCGAGGAACCTGGGGAAGCCAAGGAGAGAGAAGCACTCAGGGGCGCAGTCCTAAAGCAAGTGTGGGCATGGGCTCGGGTGGGATGGGGAGCCCAGAGACCAGTTCACCTGTCTAGGGCAAGACTCTTCCTGTCACCTTCACGCCTTACTTTATGCTCTCTTCTTCCTCTCCCATAGTGGTGGCCCTCCCAGCACCCGCATCACGCCTGAGTTCTCTAAATGGGCCAGTGATGGTAAGTCCTGACCCAGGTTAGCAGTGACAGAGGAGAGGGTGTTCCTCGATGGTGGTGACAGACTCAAGCCAAACCCTTACCTGTGCCGTCCTGTCTGTGTCCACAGAGATGCCGTCCACCAGCAACGGTGAGAGCAGCAAGCAGGATGCCATGCAGAAGACCTGCAAGAACAGCGACATCGAGAAGTGAGTGCAGTGTCCAGGGCAGGGGTCCTCAGGGCTGGCAGTTCTGGGAGAGGGAGGGAGGCCTTTTGCCAGCAGGAAGAGCTGCTGCCAGGAGTGTGGCTGGGTCCTGCTGCCCTGGGCACTCAGCCGACAGTGGAGCCCAGCTGGTGCTGAGCGTGACTCTGTGAATTGATCACCGGGCCATGGCCCCGGGAGCCTTAGCGGAGGGAGGAGCAGTCCGCCCGCCTGCCTGCCTGCCCGCTGCGGCGGCCTCCGCCCAGGGAATGTGATGTATGGCCGCCCAGCCCAGCCAGCGCACTTGATTCATCTCCAGTTTCTGTTTCTTAATCGGGAGCTAAATTGGTTTCATTTTTCTTGTCCCGGGTGGCGCTCGCAGTGGGTTTTAGGCAGGAGCATTGGGTCTCATCATTTCTGATAGGGAAGTTGGTGCCTGGGTTTTCTGGCAGAGAAAAGGGGATGCATTAGCACTCATCCAGTGCTGGTTAGCCCCTCACCTGGGTCCCGAGGTGCCACAAGGCTTTGATATCACCTGGTTATCTAAAGGCCTTTCCAGAAGTTCAGTCAAGGCCAATTCTGGGCCAAAGAGGTGGTTAATACCCAGAACAGGCCACCTGGAGGTATTTTCGTTAGCCATTGCTTAACTCCCTGTATCTACCACCCTCCCTCCGACTGGAGGCCAGGTGGCCTAGGGTTAAAAGGCATCCTCTTCATTCTAGGGCCAGTGTTCCATCTTGCCTCCTGCCAGGAGAGTGGATTGCAGGCTGGTGCAGGGCTGGGTCGGTGGCCCAGGGTCACCTCCCATTTGTTTCCCTCCATTTTGTGTTGTCATAAATTCATTCCAGCCCGTTGTGGTTGATCAGTTTATCTCGGCCGGGGCCGCGAGTGCTGCTGGCATGATGTATGGGCCGCGGCGCAGGGCCCGGCTGCCCATGAATCACCGCAGCTGCTCTGTGTCAGCGCCGGAGCGGGCCGTATGGGTTCGGCGCAACCAGCTTTGGGGTGGCGGGGGGGGGGAAGGAATGACGTATGGATGTTTATTTAATAATTCTCTCCTATTCCAGCTGAGCAGGGCGGGCGGGGCTATAAGGAGCACCCACCCTCGTCTGGAGGGGCTGCTCATAAATCAGAGAGACAAGATCATTAATCAGGGATGGCGCCCGAGGGGGAGGCGGGGGCCAGAGCCAGTGGCCATCCATGAAGGTGCTACCCACCCGAGGCTGGGGGAAGTTGGGATTCCTTTCCCACCTGTGTGAGCACAAGCACCAGACAGGACTCAATGGGACAACCTGGAGGCTCTGTGCAGTCCTCTGTGGGTGTGGATCTGTTGAGGTTGGGGCCTGTTAGTACCTATGATGTTTTTTCCTCATCTACAGAGCCTTGGTCCCTATTCTGCATCTGTTTGGAGCCCCAAGGAAGGGAAAGGCAGGATGCTATTGCTTCTTCCAGGAATCCACCCCATGTCCTGGACAGCTCAGCAATACTACTTCAGAACCAGCTGGGGTCATGGCTGAGATGTTTCATCAGAGCCATGGTTGGATGTTTCATCAAAGGGAAAGTTGGAGGCCCCTCATATGCTGGGCAAACCCAGGGTACCTGGGCTGTGGCATTAGATACCGGCCTTAGCAAGTAGAGGGGAAGATGGCTTTGTTCTTACCTCTCTAGCTCCGCTTCATTGTCTAAGTTGGAACTTGTGAGTTAGTTCTCCACCACCCCCAGGCCTTAGTGCTGAGTGTTGCTGTTTGTGAAATAACCACGTGACCAGTGAGTGCCTCGCTTGATCTCTGGAGAGGAAGGGAGCACAACTTGCCATTCTTAGGAATTTAGCAGTAAGTACAATACAAAGGCATTGGGCAAGATGCCAGGGATCAAGCCAGCTGTGAGATGTCCAAGAGGAAGGGGAGGACGGTGAAGGCTGCCAGCGCCAGAGGCTGAATGTAAGCTCCCATGGAAGCATCTAGTACCCTAAGTTACCAGAGCTGCAGCCTCAGCCTCCCTAGAGCCTAGATTCATGGGGCGATGGATATAGAGCGTCCTGAGAGAGGAATGTGGCCATGCTGGGGTTAGGTTCTGTTGGCACCCTGAAAGAACAAGATCACAGATGGAAGTGTATGGGTAACATGCAGTGTTGCCACCTCCTTCCACATACGCTGTCACCGCTGTGTTAGCACTGGAAGGCCACCCGGGAGCTCTCAAGTTCTCGGGGCCGTTTGTCTCCCCGAAGCTTGCAGAACAGGCCCCCGCAGGAGGCTGTCCCACAACACTCCTCACTTGGGAGTCTCCCTGGACTTCCATCCCATACCTCAGTGTGATCTTCCCCTCTTGACTAAATACATCTGAAACTTCAGCTCTCCTATCACTGTCTTTCAACATTCTCAACAACTTCCTGTTGTCTGAGATAAGCTTCACTTCCTGATTGTGGGTGCTGTCTCCTTCCTCGCAATAGTGCCTTCTGCGTGCCGACAGGAACCTTTTAGGACTGGTTGGTCTCTTGAACTTCTTTGCCTTCAGCCCTGGTGTTCCTTGACCTGGAGCCCCTTCCCTTCCCAGTGGGGCCAGAGGAGAGGAAGGGTGAAGCGGTTACAGTTGATCATGGAGTGGGTCTGCCATAGTTGGGATCCCATGAGCAAGCTACTTAATTTTCCTGTGCTTTGGTTTCTTCATACATAACATGCGAGTGTTAGCATCTTCTCATGAGGGTTTGTGAGGTGTAAATAAGGTAATTATTAATCCCTCAGTACAATCCTTGGCATTTAGTAAGTGCTTAATAAATTTTAGCTCTTTTATTTGTAATATCTTCATTCCCCAAGGCCTGTTTCCTGTCCCATCTTTTCTACTCTTCCAGGCAGTGTTCTTCACCCTGTGTGAGCACTTGGTCCTGTTCAGCTTGTCTTAGGAGAGGGGCAGGGTTCCCTTGAGGTAGTCCTGGCTGTATGAGTAATCAGGGCGGACAAAGCGGCTTGGAAGAACTGCAGGACCTTGTGAGGAAGGGCTGATACCAAGGCTGAGGGCTACCAGGGCGTCAGAGGAAATCATAGGAGCACTTGAGAGAAGCTAGGCCTGTGACCAAAGGACCATGAGACCACGGGACCCATGAGGTCCTTGTTTTGCTCCCCACGTTCTGTGGAGGTCAGGCAGGCTCTGTATTCAGCAGAGTTACCAGGCTCACATGCCTGGTGTGGGGTCAGTATCCACAGCACATATTGGGCCAGTGCATGGTCTGCCCACAGGGAACTAGGCCCAGCAGGAGAAAGGCGGCCTTGGCCGTCACACTGCTCAGATGGCTGTCGGCCCTGGTTGCTGTGGAGCTTCTGTGTGGTGCTGCCTGAACTGAGCAGAGCTGGTGAATTAGGAAATGGGGTATTAGTGAATTAGTCAGAGGCAGAGGATGTGCAAAAGGGGAGGGGTAGGAGGAGAGGGGTGCAGCGTGAAGGGCCAGAGGGTGCTAGGGTCAGGCTGAGGGCTCTGGGGAGACCATGGAGTGACAGAAGCAGTTGTCAGATTTACTTCTGTTAAGTGTCCTCCGTGCTAGAACACCGTGGACAGGCGAAGCTGTTGGCAGGAGGCTCGTGGAATAATCCACAGGCTGGACTGGAGGAAGTCAGTGTGCAAAGAAGATTCTGGAGATGCTGAGAGAGATGTTGGCACTGTGAAGTGTTTGAGGATGGGTCACAGGTGTCTGATCAGAAACTCAGCTGCACAGAGGCGAAGGAGCAGAGGCTGTGGATGTCAGTTCTGGACGGCAGAGCGGGCAGTGTGGCATGTTAAAGCAGGGATGTCTTGGAGATGGTTGTGTGCTCAGTCTGGAATTCAGAGGCCACTTGTGGGACCTCAGTGTGCCAGCTGCTTCCCAACAGTGTTCTTCTCTTCACAGAATCACTGAAGACTCGGCTGTGACCACATTTGAGGCCCTGAAGGCCCGGGTCAGGGAGCTGGAACGACAGCTATCTCGTGGGGACCGTTACAAATGCCTCATCTGCATGGTGAGTGGACAGAATCCTGGGTGCCCACGGTGCGGCTGCAGTGCCCAGGGCTGGGCTGGGCTCTGGGCCTAACGGGATCCTGGGTGCCCACGGTGTGGCTGCAGTGCCCAGGGCTGGGCTGGGCTCTGGGCCTGACGGGATCCTGGGTGCCCACGGTGCGGCTGCAGTGCCCAGGGCTGGGCTGGGTTCTGGGCCTGCCACACTGACCCCTCCTCTTCCTGCCTCCTCTCCAGGACTCCTACTCAATGCCCCTAACGTCCATCCAGTGTTGGCACGTGCACTGCGAGGAGTGCTGGCTGCGGACCCTGGTGAGGGGTGGCCTTGGGGGTAGGGGACTGGCTGTTGGAGGCGCTGCCCAGATGTTCATGGTTATGTTTGAGCCAGCTTGGGATGGGATTGGGCAGGGAGCACCAGAGAGAGAAGAGAGCCAGAAGCCAGGGTCCCGTCTTCCCCCCTACCCCATCTCACTGCAGTCATGCCTCTCCCGGCTGCAGGTTTATTAAATTCTCCCCTCCCTGCCTTCACTGCCCCCGCCCCCAGAAGGCCCACTGCCTCACACGTATGGGTGAGACCCCAGGTCAGGAGGAGGCTGCTGGTGTTGGTGAGCAGGGCCTGGGCCCGGCCCCTCCCCCTCCCATTACTAAGCTCCTTCTGCTCCTGCCCCTGTTCTCCGCTCGGGAGCAGCCATTAAAATGTCGCCCGGAGACAGCAATAAAAGGCCCGGACGTGGGCTCTGTGTCCTGATCAAAGGCCGCGTGTAATCTCGTTAGGGCCGCTGCAGCCACAGCTGGACCCAGCCTTGTTCTCATTACTGGAGCTCCTGCTGCGGGGCTGGCCAGGCGGCTTGATCCTGGCGTTCCCCCAACACAGGAGCATGCCTGCCTGCTCAGAGGCCACCATGCGTCCCCAACCTGGCTGACAGGACCAAGGCCCCAGCACACACCAGTGCAGGGAGATGGGGCTGCAAGCCCAGTGCTCACGGCTGCAAGCTGCAGAGCGCATTGTGTCTGACTAGAGCCTTCCCTGTCCCCTCAGGGTGCCAAGAAGCTGTGTCCTCAGTGCAACACGATCACAGCGCCCGGAGACCTGCGGAGGATCTACTTGTGAGCCAGCCAGCCCGGCAGCCTGGCCTTGGGCGGCCCCACCCGCCCCAGCCTCTGCAGCAGGGACTCGTTCCTCTTGTACATACTTGCACACAGGCTCCCCTTGTACATACATGCACATACTCACACGTGTACACGCAGGACTCTGGAGCCAGAGCAGGGCTGGTGCTCAGGTCCTGCATGCTGGCTCCCGCCAAGTCTGGGGACCATACCTGTTCCAGCCTCTGTCCCCAGGGAGGGGCAGGGGAGCTGCGGTGGGGGAGCAGTGGGGCAAGGCTCCTGAGACCCAGCGCTGGGACCGACAGGCGGACAGACGCAGACACCAGACTGAAGCACATGTAATATAGACCGCGTATGTTTACAATGTTGTGTATAAATGAGACGACTCCTCACCCCTGCCCCACCCCTGCCCCTTTGGCTGTATGATTTTCTGTCCTTTTTTTCCTTTTTTTTTTTTTTTTTTTTTTTTTTTTAAGAACCCCTGGAAGCAGTGCCTCCTTCGGGGCTGGCTGGGGGCTCGGCCCATCCTCCCGAGGGTGCCTGTGTCTCCCTGTCCCGTGGCGTCCCTTCCTTCTCCCGTGTGCTCGGTGTTCAGTGGTGTATATTTCTTCTCCCAGACCAGGGGCAACTGCCCCAAGGGACACGATCCTCTCCTTAGTCTTAGCTCATGGGGCTCTTTGTAAGGAGTGGGGGCGGGGCAGAAAACGGAACCGAGCTGAAGCAGAGGCCGCAGCTGGGGCTGGCCAGAGGCTCCCCCGGCTGCCCAGGCCTCTGCTGAGAGCCGGGCCTGGGAGTAGAGCTGCTCTCCCGGGACAGGTGCTGCTCCGCCACCTCTCCCAGGGCCCGTGGTGTGATGCTGTGTCTGTATATTCGATACAAAGGGACATGTTCTTGCCCTTTGTAAACTACATTTGACATGGATTAAACCAATATAAACAGCTGCGGCCTGTGTGTGTGTAAGGCCTGAAGCAGTTCAGGGCCTGGTTTTGGCAACAGTGCAGGGGACAGGACTTAGCAGTGGGTTTGCCAGAGCCCTGGAATGTTCTGGCCTGGGTGTGGGGGCTGGGGACTGAGCTTGTGACTATTGATGGGTAGGGGCTCTAGGTTAATTCCTTATCGATGCAGAATCGTCAGCTCATTAATCACAGGACAGGTCAGAGCTTGGGGGTACAGAGGGGATACAAGCCCTAGCCCCAGCTGAGGGTCGGAGCAGCTCCCGGGCGTGGCTGGCAGCACAGTCCCCAGACACGTGCCCCGGATGTGACAGACCTGCCAGCCTAGCTCTCCTGGCTCCGTTGTGTCCTCCAGCCTCACGAGCAATCAGCAGTCTGAGGGAGCTACTGCCTGGGTGCTCAGGTGAGGCCCTAAAGGCCCTCAAGTCCACAAGGCACTGCTGGCCTGCAGGCACTTGATTCATCCTCATAGCTCCCCAAGGTGGAGCAGGGCTGGGAGCTGCAGAGGCACCCGTGCACCCACGGAAAGCTGTTTTAAGAGTCTACTAAAATCCACAGCCCCTTGTTACCACAGACCCCTGCATACATTCACGTACGCCAGACCTACTCCCAAGCCCCTGGTCTAGCACACCCACAGCAAATGAGGGGCATCTAGCAGGCAGCTGCTGCCACATCCACCTTGTACCAAAGTAAAGAGAAGTCAGCCCTGGTGTCTGCTGAAGACCTTTCTCAGCCACAAGGCCAATGTGTTGGCACCAGATGGCCTGAGAGCATAGCGAGGCAAGGCAGAGCAGCCAGTGGTGGCTGAGGGTTTGGGAAAGAAGTAAGGGTAGGTGAGGATAGTGTGGAGAGGCTCTGAGAGCCTGTCAAGCTGTGTCCTTTTATGTCTCCCTTCTGCCTGCCTTGGACTGGGTAGGTCTTTGACGACTGGTTACCCCCCACCCTGGGGGCCGTATGCTGTAATGGGGACATTAACCCAGCGTGTGCGCATTCCACTGCAGCCTTTCCCGCTGTGGGAATCCTTGAGCACTCAAAGCACGGGCAGCACTGCCACCTGTTGGCCATGGCTGAGAATGCAGCCACAACTCAGCGCACAAAGGTAGTTTCGGAGGGAACTACAGGACTCGGGTGCCCTACAGATTCAGGGATCAAGAGCCTTTGTTGTTCCCTTAACTGCCTGCCAAACTGGCAAAGCCCACCCATGCCCTGCATGCCCTGTAATCAGTGCAATAAGCGCTTTTGGGTCACAGATAGGAACTGGTAGATGGCGCATGCCAAAGCTGCTCTTCTGCCTTGGGAGAACAGGTGGGTGTCCCTTAAACAGAGAGAGGAATTTGCTGTTTTCAGCCCCAGAATAGCATTTGCTGGCCCTCCACCCTGTGTGCAGTGGTGTCCTGGCATAGCGAGGTGGAGCCAGGCAGGTCCTAACCCCCGAAGCTAAGCTCACCTTCCCAGCGCAGAGCAGCGATGAGGCCTAAGAAGACAGGTAGGTAAGCTGCCCAGTGGGCACTGTGGGATTCTGCGCCTCGTTCCTGGCACCTCCCCACCATTGCCACTCCAGAAATCCAAACTACTCTGGCCACAGGTGACTGAAGTTAGGCCACAGGACTAACAGCCAAAGATCTGTCCAGCTGGAGCATATTGCATGTGCAGAATTCTGCTAAGAGAACAGATTCGTGTTAAATGTTCTGCTCACAGGGTCCAGACAATTCTGGGGCTCATCCTCACTTCTCCCTCTGTTAAGTTTTTACAGCTTAAAACAACCACCACCACAGGCCTCAGCAGCCCAGCTGGGCACTTAACCACTGCAAAACCCCCAGGGCCTGCTAGGATCCTGAGGGTCAGCAAGCAGCAGCCCCTCAGGACCCAGGCCCTGGGAAATCTGCGTAGGGACCACAAAATCCTAAAGGGTCACAGAGACTGAAGAAGAGGGCCCCACAGTAACAGGTGCTGAGGAGGTATCAGGCATTTATTTGGGGAGCAGAGGGGAGTCAGAGCAATGACGTCAGCAGTGCATGCAGGTGTGCATGAAGTTGGCACAGAGGCTGGTGTAGTAGGTGGGGTAGTCGCGGAGGTGGCTGACATGGGCAGAGGACACAAAGTCCACAGAACGCACCAGCACCTGGTGTGACAGCCGCGCTTCCACCATGCGTTCCACGTCCCTGGCCAGGACGACCTTGTCAGCTTTGGAGTACAGGTAGAGCTCTGGCCAGCGGGAGCCTGCGTCCTGCAGCCTGTGGTAGAAGTGGGTGTGGAAGAGGGCCGTGAGTGGGGCAAGCAGGACGTGGAACAGGACCACCACCAGGGCGAAGGCTGCCAGCAGCAAGCAGCGCAGCGCGGCCGGCCGGTGCTGCAGGATGGCGGCGAGGGCCCGCAGCGCCCCCAGCAGGTTGCTGTGGCCCGGCCCGCTGTCGAAGATGGTGCCCACCACGCGCAGGCGGCAGAAGCGCTGGTGGGTCTGCAGGAGGTCCAGCACGTAGCGGTACAGCATGACGCCGGCGTTGCTGAAGACGTGGAAGAGCAGGGGCTCCTTTTCGATCTCGTAGTGGAAGAGGAGCTCCAGCAGCCTCTGGGCCAAGACCCGCAGGGAAGGGATGCCCAGGGACTCGGAGAAGAAGACCAGGTGCCATGGGGCCGTGTATCGGATCACGACGCAGCCCTGCGGAGGCAGAGGCAGTGGCAGTGGGGACGGCTCAGGCACGCGTCCCTGCTGCTCGAGGCCCTCCTTCCGCCTGGGCACCAGCTCACACCTCACTCCCATTTCTGGAAGGCTCACACTCACCCCCAAATGCCAAATACAACCAATATTGTTACTCAAATCATAGAAATCTTGGCCCAAGCTCCCTTTAGGCTTGTGTACCCCCCACACTGCCCAGGCCAAGTGTGCCCCCAAATCTCAGACAGGAACTCTTCTAGCTCGGTCATGCATGGCAGCCAAGGAAGTGGATGTTGGTATAATAGCCAAGACGCCACCACTTGGGACAGCCCATCCCATGTTGTGGCTCCATTGCTGATTTCGGCTTCCTGTCACCATGCATCCTGGCAGGCAGCAAGTGGTGGCTCAGGTGGTTGGGTCCCTGCCACCAGCGTGGGACAACTAGATGAAGTTCTGGACCCCTAGCTTTGGAACACATGGGAGTCATATTCTATCTCTCTCCCTACTCCCTCCCTCCTCACCTTCTAAAAGGCAGCCCAAGCCTCCTCTACCTGAGTGCTAACTTCCTTCTCCCACCCATTCGAGACCACAAGCCCTTCTTCCGGGGAATGTGGCCGAGCTCGGGAACCACGCCACTTATTAATACCGTATAGATGAAGAGCAATTTAGTTTTGTTTCTGCTCCATGTCTCCGTCTAGAAACTGGGATAGTGCACATCTAATGTGGTAAGAATGAAAACGCTGTATCTCAAGTGACCAGCACAGCACTGGCATAAAGTAAATTCTCAGCCAACAGAAATCAAGACAGTGGGAGACACAAGAGGATTACACAGGCATAAGGCCAAATGACCATGGCCAAACAGGGCTGCGTCACTGAGGCTCCTGCCATCGGCCCAGCCCTGGGGCCCTGGACATCCCAACACTCTGAGGAGGGGGTTACCTGAAGCCACCCACACTCCCCCAGTAGGTCAGAACAACAGGAGACTGTTCCGTTCTCATCGTTCTTGTCTCTGTGATTGGAAACTTCTAGAAATGCCCTCTTGAGGTACAGTCTCTTCAATAAGAACATTGAGGTGGGGGAGGGGAGGACTGCTGAAGAAAGAAAAGCAGCAGGGCAGGTCTGGCTTAGCAGTGAAGACCCTGGTGAAGATGGCTGCGTCCCACGTCAGGCTCAGTACCTAGCTCCACCCCTGCTCATGTGCACCTGGTAGGCAGCAGTGATGGCTCCTCCACCCCAGGGGCCACCTGGACAGATCCCCCAGCTCCCAGCTTTGGACCCAGCCCTGGCTGTTGCAAAAATACAGGCAGTGAACCAGTGAATGGGAAATCTTAGTCTGTTTCTCTCTGCCTTTCAAATAAATATGTCCTTTAGAAAAAAAGAAAAAGGGCCTGGTGCAATAGCTCGGTGACTAAATCCTCACGTTGCATGCACAGGGATCCCCTTTGGGCACCGGTTTATGTCCCAGCTGCTCCACTTCCCATCCAGCTCCCTGCTTGTGTCCTGGGAAAGCAGTAGAGGACGGCCCAGAGCCTTGGGACCCTGTACCCGTGTGGGAGACCTGGAACAAACTCCTGGTTCCTGGCTTTGAATCAGCTCAACAGTGGCCACTAGGAGAGTGAACCAGCAGACAGAAAGTCTTTGTTTCTTCTCTCTGTAAATCTGTCTTTCCAATTAAAAAAAAAATCTTTTAGGAAAAAAAGGAGGTTTAAGGAATAGAATAACTGATACAATGAGTAATCCTGGGTTGGGTCCTTGTAAGACATGTGGGGACAATTAGTGTTTCTGAGCAAAGACGTGAAAATAGACAAAAGTGCGTGAACAGGGGCAGGCGCAGTGGCATAGCAACCAATCCTCTACCTGCAGTGCTGGCAACCCATATGGGCATCAGTTCTTATTCCAGATGCTCCACTTCCCATCCAGCTCCCTGCTAACAGCCTGGGAAAGCAGCAGAGGATCGCCCAAAGCCTTGGGTCCTGGCACCCACATAGGAGACCCAGAAGAAAGCTTCTGGATCCTGGCTTCAGATCAGCCCAGCTCTTGCCATCGCAACCATCTGGGAAGTAATCCAGTAGATGGAAGATATCTCTCTCTCTCTCTCTTTCTCTCTCTCCCTTCTCTGTAACTCTACATTTCAAATAAAATAAATCTTTTCTAAGATGAACATGCAGGGAAGGAGAGCCGGCAGGACACCTGCTGAGGTGTGCATGGAGGGATTCTCCAGGTAGCACATGTATGGTCTCCTGTGACAGTCACCGTGGATTTGGGAGCAGGACGTGCCCTCTCCACGCCTACCCTGTGCTCCCTGGAGAGGCAGACACCCCTGTCCGAGGCCCCGCCTCCACCGCCTGCAGCCTCAGCCTGCAGGGATCTCCTCCGTCCATCACACTATGGATCAGGGTTTCCTCACCCATCTCTGGTCATTCCTGCTTTCCTCACAGAACCTTCTTAACTCTTCCAGCTCCTCCAACCACAGGCTCCCTGGGGCTGTCCTAGGCCCCCTCCGCTCCTCCATGCACTCCTGGGATGGGGAGGCAGGGAGCCTGTCCTCCCCAGAGGCTAGGGTTTTCCACCAGCACTCCTGTCTCCAATCACACCAGCCTACCCAGGAAGCACCCATCACAGGCCTGGCATTCATTGCTCCAAGCCTCTCCCTGCAGTTGCATCCACACCCAGCATCTCATGTAGCCACCATTCCACCCCCCCAGACAAGCTCCTCCCCGTGCCTCCTATCCGCCTGCACTACTGACCACCAGGTCCTGCCTGTCCCTCTCCCCCACAAACCAGATCCCTGCAACTCCCTCCCAACTTGCTTCCAGCTTCCATCCCAGCCCCTTTATCTGAAAGGTAAACCCACATTACACCCCTGCTGGAATCCCAAGTACCCACCCCTCACACCTCACCCTTCCGCCCTTGCCTTTTTTTTCTGCTCAAATCACACTTGTGGCTACTCCCATCCACCTCGCCTTAGAGGCTTACTCTGTGGAAGCCACTGCACAGCAAGCCCAGCCCCAGGAGTGGGACTGGGAAAGACGTGGAACTCCCTGTGGACAGGTGAAGCCACAGGGCCACCCTCGCCAAATGGGGAGGCAGCAGACCCAGAACTGTATCTGCCCCAGTGCCTCTCCCATCACGTTAGGCATGGTATGGGGCTGGGCTGTGAAAGGAGTTCGGGGGAGCAGGGCACAGCTGGCCTTCCTCCCAGTTGCTTCCCACTCCTGGCCAGAACCAGGCAGAGAGCTACTATAGGGAGATCTTGGATGAGCAGGGTGGAGCCAGAAGCCAAAGCTGTGAAAGGGGCTTCCCAGGGTCCTTGCAGTACTCACCCTTGTGTGGTAGATGGCGCTGTACTTGGCAAGGTTCTTGTCCCGGCAGCCTCCCCAGCCCAGCAGAATCACCACCGGCTGCCTCGGCCCCGCCTCCTTCCCAGCTGTTCCGCGGTCCTCTGAAACACAGATGGGCATTTGTCAACACCAGATGTGGGGTCGCGGATGGGGGCTGCTGACCAATCCAGAGCTGATGCTGCTGCAGCCACAGGCAGGGAGTCCACAGCGGGGACGGTCCCAGCATCTGGCCAGTCCCTAGGTCCCGAGTTCCCACAGAGCTCCCTTCCCTTGTCTTGCTCCCACTGCTTTTCCCCAAGCCTCTTGGGAGCCCCTGTGAGGTCAACCGGGAAAACCCACCGAAGCACCTTTCTTTAGTACTCACAGCCCAGCCCTTCTCCACATAACCGCACCTTCAGATCGAGCGGCGTCAGCAGGCTACATCCACAAGCCAAACCAGTCCCCTGTCTGTCTCTCTGTGGCCTGCAAGCTAACTTTTTGTTTGTATTAAATCTAATTGTACTTTGTGAAACATGCAAATGACATAAAAGTGAAATCTGTCCGCAAATAGAGTGTTCCTGGAGCATAGTCACACACGTCCAGCTTGCTGCATGACCTGCCAGAAAATGGTCCTGACAATACGACGCTGCAGGTGCCACAGATGAGGCTAAGGGACTTGCCTATGGTCACACAGCAAGTGCAGAGCTGGGCTTGCAGCCGCTGATCCCCTCCAAGCTGCCTGCTGAGTCCCCCCGCCTTTTAAGATTTATTTTTATTGGAAAGTTAGATCTACAGAGAGGAGGAGATACAGAGAGGAAGATCTTCCATCTGATGATTCACTTCCCAAGTGGCCGCCATGGCTGGAGCTGCACTGTTCCAAAGTCAGGAGCCAGGAACTTCCTTCCGGGTCTCTCACACGGGTGCAGGGTCCCAAGGCTTTGGGCTGTCCTCAACTGTTTTCCCAAGCCACAAGCAGGGAGCTGGATGGTAAGCGAGGTCACTAGGATTAGAACCGGTGCCCATATGGGATCCCAGCGCGTGCAAGGCGAGGACTTTAGCTGCTAGGCTACTGTGCCGGGCCCACCAAGCCCCTTCCAAGCCCCTGGCCCACCTGCAGCGGGACCTACACCTCCTTCAGGGTAGCAACAGGGGTTGGGGAGGGGAGTGCAGACAGGCACAGCTGCCTCTGCCAGGGCCGCCCAGCAGCCCGCTCCATCAGCCTCCTGCACACCCCCTGTGAAGGGCCTGCCCATGCCCTCAGGGGACAGCTACACACCACTGTCTGTACTGGATCAGCATGTCCCCCTCCCCACCATCCCTTCCAAGGACCAAGCCACTGGGCTTCACTCAGCTGCCACCTCAAAATTTATGGATGCCAGTGGTGACCTGGCGACAGTAAATTTCAAGGCTAGTTAAGAGGATGGTAAATATAAATCACTAACCTTTGAACAAAAGGAAGACAACAATTTCCTGTGGAAATTAATGTGATTGAAAAGTTCAGGGTTCCTGCTCCCTAGTGGTGGCGACTCAGCCTTCGGAGATTAACTGCCCACACCCGCAGGGCTCCCGAGCATGCTGCATCACGCCGTGGTCTCTTGCTGACACTGCCAGCGCTCCCAGCCTCTGGCCACGGCCCGGATCCAGGGAGCTGCTCGCTGACATCCTCAGCCGGGCACCCCCATCGTCTGCCTGCCCAGGCCCTTCTGGTGATGACGGCTGGGTGTGGGGCTTGGTGGGCTCCAGCCATGGCCACCGTGAAGCTCAGGCCGGGGTGGTGGTCTCATGGGGGTTTATCAACTGCTGCCCTTGACTCAGGTCTGACAGCTGCACTTCTGAGAGCCTGCCCTAGGGGAAGTCTCCCTCACCCCTGAGGACAGACCCTCCTGCTCACCCCATGCTCCAGCAAAGACACCAGTAAAGGGCTTTGGGTTTGATCTCAGTTGCAGAGACTGGAGCTGGCAGAGGTCACGTCCCCCAGTGGCCATGTGATGCCAGGGCCAGCTCCCATCAGCAGAGCTGGAACCTTTCCAGTGACAGAAGGTTCAAGCATCTTCTGCCAGCCTCCAAGCGCCTTCTCACCACAGCTGGGACTGTCAGTTCTGCTTTGCTCCACCACAGATTTTGCTAGCACCCCTGGCAGAAAACCCAAGGAGCTCTGTGCACATGGCAGGGAGTCATGGGGGCAGGGACAGCCTTGAAAGTGACCTTGAAGGCCCAGCTGATGATGTGCCTGGTGGACAGAAGGCATAAGTGGGGGTGGAGGTGGTGGCAATGGTATTGTCCTTTGTGATACAGTGAGCACTGCTGGGGGACTGGAACCCAAGAGAGGGAGCGGTGAGCAGGGGAGCAGCCAAGAGCAGACCTGAGCCTGACCGGTCCCGCGAGGCCCCCATGCTGCATGGTGCTGAAGCCACCCAGCAATGGAGAACCCAAGACTCTGCACTGAGGGAACGTAGCCTGACCTAATCTACTGATCAGTGACGTCCACAATTATGCGCTTGATGTCTAACTCTCTCTCCTGAATGAGCACTTTCTGTGAGCACAGGAAATGGGGTCAACACGTTTATCAGCACATCTCCGACAGCCAGCAGAACCGCCAGCCTGTTGAGAGACCCACAGGTTCCCTGCTGAATAAATGAACACATGGTTACAAAGTTAAAAAAAAAAAATTTACCAAAGGAAAGGGAACTACTGTTCTCTTTGCCCTTACCTTCTCTGTAGTGAGGCTGTGGCCGTGGTCACTGACCAACGCATACCTGTACTTTTATGCTAAAGCCCCACCCCTTTCCTGCTCCGTTCCCTGGCGATGCCACCCTGCCTCCTGTCAGCATCTCCTGGGCTCTGACATCTGTCCTTGGACAGGGAATGTTTTTGTGTACCCTTGGCATGGGTTCTCACTGTGTTACAAAACTTGCCATGACCTTGGGGCAAGCAATCAAATGCATTTTGTTCCAAAACCGTGACAAACCTCTCTTAGCCAGCAGAGCTAACACACAGCGCTGCCTGCTCTGCACTGCTCTGTGCACTTGACATTTCAACTCATAGAACCTTCGCATCAACCCTATAGGCAAGGAACCGGTGTTATTCCCATCTTACAGATGGGAAACTGAGGCACAGTGACAGCCACTTGCTCAAGACTGTACGGTAGAAGCTAAAATCCAATTCAGGTGGCCTAAGACCAGTTAGTACCCAGCACTCCGCTGGGCCACTGGGTCAAACAGTCCAACCAGATCTCAGTTGTTCCAGCTCCAAACCTGTCCTCATGCTGCCTCCTGTGTCAACAGACCCAACATGGACCTCATGGCCCAGTAATCCTGCCTCATTTGGTTCTACAGCCATGCTAGGAGTTAGTTACGACTACTATTCCCATTCATACGGTAACATACAGCCAGAAAGCAGCGGAACCAGCATCTACTCTCTGGACCACCACAACCACAGGATCCCCTCCCTCATGGTGACACTGCAGTCCCCACCACGACTGTGATGTCCTCACATCTCCTTCTCACCCGCTAGCCCAGGACACTCACGCCCACTCCACTACAGTCAACTCCCTGATGTTGCGCCAGCACAGCTCATTGGAGACAGGGAGGAAGCTCCCCTAACAGCCAAGGTGAGAGCTGGTCAGGGCCTAGCCCACCCACAGCAGTGGGGAGACAGGTAGGTAGAGGGAGGAACAAGACAGAGTCCCGATCTGGGGGAACAAAGTCTCCAAAATATGCTTATAATTCTACTTCCAAAAAAAAGAGAGCTACTCAATGATACACTAAGTAGATAACACACATAAAGGTAAGGGCTAAAATCATAAAACTCTTCGAAGAAATTATAAGAGTACATCTTTGTGGCCTAGAATTAGAAAACAGTTTCTGGGACATGACGCCAAGAGTATGAGGGGCAAATAAATAAGATAGAAATTCTGGGACTTCATTAACATTATAAGCTTTGGAAAGCAGGTGTGTGGCCAGGGTTAAGTCACTACCTGCGAGGGCCACATCCTATTTTAGAATGTCTGGTGCAGGTCCTGCTGCTTCCGGTCCAGTTTCCTGCTGACTTGCACCTGCGAAGCAGCAGCCGATGGCCTCCGAACTTCCTTTCTTGACTGAGTTCTTGCCTCTTGGATCAGCTCTGGCTGTTGCAGGCACTTGGCAACGAAACCAGCAGATACAAGAGTCACCCTCTCTCTCTTCAAATGAAAAATTTAAAGATTTATTTTACTTTTATTGGGAAGACAGATTTGCAAAGAGAAGAAGATACAGAAAAAAGATCTTTCATCCTCTGGTTCACTACTAAGTGGCTTCAACAACCAGAGTTGAGCTGATCTGTAGCCAGGAGCCAGGAGTTTCTTCCAGGTCTCCCATGCGGGTGCAGGGTTCCAAGGCTTTGGGCTGTCTTCTAATGCTTTCCCAGGCCACAAGCAGGGTGCTGGATGGGAAGTGGAACAGCCGGGACACAAACCAGCGCCCATATGGGATTCCGGCACGTACAAGGCAAGGATTTAGCCCCTAGGCTATCATACCAGGCCCAAAACCACATTTTAAAAATGTTCTGAAAAATGAAAAGCTTTTATACTTCAAAAGACACCATCAAAAAAGAAAAGAAAAAGAAAAAGGAGGGGGCAGTTTTTGGTGGAACAACAGGTTAAGCCATTGCCTATAAAGCCAGCATCCCGTATCAAAGTGCCACTTCCAATCCAACTCCCTGTTAACATGCCTGAGAAACCATCAGGAGATGGCCCAAGTACCTGAGTCCGTGTTACCCACATGGGAGACCTGGACAGAGCTTTGGGCTCCTGGCTTCAGCCTAGCCCAGCCCAGCCTGGCTATTGTGAACATTTGGAAAGTGAACTAGAAGATGAATATCTCATCCCTCTTTGTCATTCTGCCTTTCAATAAATAAATCTTTTTTAAAAATTGGGGCCAGGTGCCTCCACTTGTGGAACAGTAGGCTAAGCCTCCACTTGTGGCACCAGCATCCCATATGAACACCGGTCTGCGTCTCAGCTGCTCCATTTCTGATGCCACGCCCTGCTGATGCACCCAGGAAAGCAGCAGAGGATGGCTCCAGTCCTTGGGACCAGTCCTGTTACCCACCTGGGAGACCCAGAAAAAGGTCCTGGCTTTGGATT